GTGGGGTTTTCGGCTGGCTTGTCTCCCACTTCCTTTCAATTGTCTCCAACTTCTTTTCATTTGTCTCCCTGGGTGCTTGTGGTCGGGTTCCCGGCTGGCTTGTCTCCGGACTTGTACTTCACTGTTACAAGTTCTTTACCCCTATTTCTAACCTAATGCATGCATAAGCGGGGGGTAAATTTACCCCCCAGAGTTGCCATAACCATAAGCCGGCTATTTCCTCAAGACACTCTACTCCTTATACCTTTTACCAGTGCTTATCCTACACTGCGGACGCCCTAGTGTATGCACAGTCCTTGTGATGCCAGAAATATCCAGAAATGCTTACCCCTCTTTCCGGCACAAGGCATACATAAGCGGTGGGTAAATTTAAAAATTCAACCACCAGAATTGCAATAACCATAAGCCGGCTATTTCCTCAAGACACTCTATATTCCATATACCCTTTACCCGTGCTTCTCCTACACTACGGACGCCCAGTGTATGTACAGTCCGTGTGATGTCAGAAATGCTTACCCCTCTTTTCGACTCAAGGCATACAAAAGCGGGGGGTAAATTTACCCCCCTTCGTGCCTGCCAACGAGTCCGCCCGTGTTGTTCCAATGTACCCTTCCCAGTCGGCGATGTCACATTTACATTCTTCAGCGCAAAGTGTGTACGTAGCAACCTTTCTCCCAAAACATGTAATCACTACATGCTTTGCCGACTATGTAACTAGTACATCCGGTGCAATTCGGCTAGCTTTCGACCTCCTCCCCTGGCCTTAAGTCATTTGTCTCCCAGGTCTGTCAATGGTGGTGTCCGCCCTTTTCCGTTGGCCATGCAACATTTCTCTTCATTTGTCTCCCAGGTCTGTCACTGCCGGCCCGCCCTTTTCCGCTGGTTCTATTCATCATTTGTCTCCCAGGTCTGTCACTTGCGGTGTCCGCCCTTTTCCGCTGGCGATGCAACATTTCTATTCATTTGTTTCCAAGGTTGGTCACTGTTGGTGTCCGCCCTTTTCCGCTGGCTTTTCTGCTGGCCATGTAGCATTTCTATTCATTTGTCTGCCACATCTGTCACTGCTGGTGTCCGCCCTTTTCCGCTGGCCATGTAGCATTTCTATTCATTTGTCTCCCAGGTCTGCCACTGCTGGTGTCCGCCCTTTTCCGCTGGCGATGCGACATTTCTATTCGTTTGTCTCCCAGGTCTGACTGGTGGTGTCCGCCCTTTTCCGCTGGCCATGCAGCATGTCTATTCATCTCCCAAGTCTGTCACTGCTGGTGTCCGTCCTTGTCCGTTGGCCATGCAGCATTTCTATTCATGTGTCTCCCAGGCCTGTCACTGGTGGTGTGCGCCTTTTTCCGCTGGCCATGTAGCATTTCTATTCATTTGTCTCCGAGGTCTGTCACTGCTGGTGTCCGCCCTTTTCCGCTGGCGATGCAACATTTCTATTTGTTTGTTTCCCAGGTCTGTCACTGGTGGTGTCCGCCCTTTTCCGCTGGCCATGCAGCATGTCTATTCATCTCCCAGGTCTGTCACTGCTGGTGTCCGCCCTTGTCCGTTGGCCATGCAGCATTTCTATTCATGTGTCCCAGGCCTGCCACTGGTGGTGCCCGCCCTTTTCCGCTGGCATTTCTATTCTTGCGTCCGCTGGTGTGTCCTTGTCTATTGGCCATGAAGCATTTCTATTCATTTGCCTCCCAGGTCCGTTACTGCTGGTGTCCGCCCTTTTCCGTTGGCCATGTAGCATTTCTATTCATTTGTCTCCCAGGTCTGTCACTGCTGGTGTCAGCCCTTTTCTGCTGGCGATGCAACGGTTCTATTCATGTGTGTTCCAGGTCTGTCACTGCTGGTGTCCGCCCTTTTCCGCTGGCCATGCAGCATTTCTATTCATTTGTTTCCCGTGTCTGTGACTGGTGCTGCCGCCCTTTTCCGCTGGCCATGTAGCATTTCTATTCATTTGTCTCCCATGTGATTTCTTCTGCGCTGGTGTTTTCTGCCCTGTCCGCTGGAACAGGTTCACCTGTGAAAGGTTCTTGCTCCTTTGAAAGGGGTGCGTGATTGTCTCCGGGATTGCATTCCTGCCACACTGTGTAACTCTCTCAGCTTTGTTTCCCTTTTCGGGCAAGCGTTGGATGAATGACCGGATTGGATTTCGGCGTTCAGTTGGGACGGAGGGCATACGTCAGGCACCAAAAACCAGTTTCATGTCACGTCCTTCGCTCCTCATGCTTTTATTTCTTGTCCTCACGTGGTCAGCTCCCCGCTGATTGAGCAGCATGACCAGCATCATGTTCGCACTTGAAGAATAATTCCCCAAAAGGTTTGCTGTTGGGGCTTGTCAATTCTTTCTTAAGATGTGTCCGCCCGCTCTGTACGCAATCCTTTGTCTCCCAGCTCTGGGCGTCGCAAGCTCTAGTTTCGGTTTGAAAAGCGCAAACTGTTTGGGGTCTACGGTGGTGTAATTTATTCCTTTTTTTTTCTTTGTTTCTAATAACGATGGCCTCCAACCTAAGTGCAATGGCCTCCGCCCCAATAGCAGTGGCCTCCAACCTACTAGCGATGGCCTCCACCCTAGTAGCGATTGAAATATTGTGTAACTTAGATAAGTAAGTGTGCATTTTCTTACAAGAGATGTAAGCTTTCAGGGGTGCAGCAGTAATGAAGCTACAACATAAAGTAACGTATAATGCGTCCAAGCGGGCTTCAGACTCCTTCTCTGCATGACACTGTCTGTGCCCAACAACTTATTGCCTTATTACTCCCAGCTCATTCTCAAGCGGCTTTTGGCAGCTGCAGGGAGCTGCCAGTCAAGGAGCCCCCCCCTCCAAAGCGTCAGCACCACAAACCGGTCGCCAGTGGGCCAGTCGGCCAGTCCCACAGCATGGTCCACGTGTTCCTACACCTTGCGAAGTCTCCCCGAACGCCTCTGAAACTTGAACAAACTTGGGCCTGCCAAGTTACGCCATATTTCAATCGCCAGTAGGTTGGAGGCCATGGCTATTAGAAACCAAAAAGAACAGGAAGAAATAGAGTCTAAGTGCCACGCTAGTAGTAACAAGTGCATCGCTTCTAGTAACAAGTGCCTTACTAGTAGTAGCAGGTGCCTTACTACTAGGAGCAAGAAGCTACTAGGGCCTGGGCTCCTGGCCTTAATTGCAGTTCACGCAATTTATTACGCAATCTCAGGCGCAGCATCCGGACGGCCTCACCGACGAAGCCCTTTCAAGCGATCGTTTGCACGCAGTGCACCTAACCGTGGCCATGTACATGTCCAAGAACCGGTGATACCAAGCTGACACGCCAGCCAGCCATAACCCAGATCCCAGCACCTCAGATGCCTCATGGCCAACAACGCTTGGCGCTTGGTTGCCTCATCGGCTGACTTTTTCTCTGTGCTTCAGCACAATCCAGCCCGTCCGCAAGCAGGTGTGGAGGCTGCCCTTCTTCGACAGGCACCGCCACAATTGCCGGGCAGGCAAAAAGTCAATTAAATTCTTATTGTTAGTGGTAAGGCACTTGTTCCTAATAGCTTCTTGTTACTACTAGCGAGGCATGGGTCCACCCCGCCTGACACGCTGGCAACACAATGCCAACATCGGTTTTCAACGAGCCACTCACGACTGCACCAGGCACTGAGACCGCACGCTGACACGACCGCCACATGACCCGGTGGCAAGCAGCAAACACTGTGCTCAGGCCTCGCGTTGCCGAAGCTATGGGCGCTGCCTGCACATCCTTGGGTGATGACCGATGACCTACGCCGACCACCTGTACAGTACGGGGTGGGGCGCACCAACGGCATGCAGCAAAAGCCAGCCTGCCAAACCACCTGTTTACATGAAACAAGTAGAACCGGGCACGGATTGATTGCCTTATGCAGTGTAGTTCTGCAACAACCCTACTTTTTCCAGTGGAATTTGAGTAACCAATTCTTTGTTCAATGTTAAGTAAGGGATTCGGCTGCGGAACGCAGTTATCTCCCATTTGCCGATGTCCACAATCTTGGGCCTCTCTTGGTGCCTGGTTACATCTTCAAGCACTCAGCCCTTACACATCTGTGCCATGTGGAGCGCCCTCTCTCTCTCTCTCTTTTTCTCTCTTCGAAGAATGGCTCTGTTCTCATACAATGTGTGTCAAACAAATCTTTTACCGCAATATCTCTTCCACTGTTCAGCTTGCCTCGTTGCACTGGAAAGAACACGGAAGGGCGTCAGCCTGGTTTGCTGAGATCATGTAGGACGGCTGTAACAGCAATGCCAAGTTTCCCAAAGAATCTAATTTTTTAAGCCCGCTCCCCCTCCTCCCTACTTAATTAAGTAGGCGCCTGCTTAACCAAGTGAGAGAGGGGTAACTAGTACACTACTTAAGCTACTAGCATGGACGGAGGATAGCTCACGCTTCTTGAAGGAATCTCGCCCCGCCTGAGGGCGGGGGCAGCTTCCTTGAAGAAGCCTGAGCTTTCCTGCGTCCAAGCCAACGAAACCACTTAAGCTTAGCTACCTCTTTAGTAGGTAGCATACTTAATGGCCTCCACCCTACTAGTGATGGCCCCCAACGTAGTAGCTACTTAAGCTTAGCTACCCTATGATTGTTAGCTTGCTTGAGCCTCCTGACGGCCTACCACCCCTCTATCAAGAAAAACAACTCCCCATCGCCGCCATTGCCTTGTAAGGAAAGCACGTGGAACCTCACACACACACCCCTCTATTGGCTGCAGTGGGAAGGTCTCTTGTTGAGAGATCGGCTTACCAAGCCCTCCTCCTTCATATAGTTCCAAACCTTGGAAAGAAAATACAAGAAAACCAAACAACGATAAACAACATAGCACAAGGGAAAAACAAGCAAACACTTTTGGAAGAGCACGATCAAGCTGCAAACAGAAGTGGCAGCCATTTCTATAAGCACCATGTTGCTACACGTTTGTCCAGAAACATACATCTTGCTTTATCTCAAGCAGCACAACCACATGAAGCAACTTTGGTAGTTCATACCAATCATGGCTTAAAACCATTCAAACAAAACATAAAGCGACCATCGCTATTAGGTTAGGTTGGAGGCCATCCCAACTAGGTCGCAGGCCATTCCTAGCATGTTGGAGGCCATCGCTAGTAGGTTGGAGGCCATCGCTATTAGGTCGGAGGTCATCGCTATTAGGTTGGAGGCCATCGCTATTGGGTTGGAGGCCATCGCTATTGGGTTGGAGGCCATTGCTAGTAGGTTGGAGGCCATCGCTAGTAGGTTGGAAGCCATCGCTATTAGGTTGGTAGGTTGGAGGCCATCGCAACTAGGTTGGAGGCCATTCCTAATGGGTTGGAGGCCATCGCTGTCAGGAAGCTATTAGCTTTGTTGCTTGCCAAACCTTGAGAGCCCATCTGAGCATCCACACCATGTCCAGAGCACCTCCATTGCAGCCTTTCCCAAACTTTTGATCACACCTCAAAAGAAAGATAAAAGATAAACGGGAATTGAATTGAGAGAAAAGAGACACCTAATAGCAATGGCCTCCAACCTACTAGCGATGATCTCCAACCTACTAAAGGAAGGTACCTTTTGTGAAGAATGACAAAAAGCTGGGGAATCAGCAGCATTGCAAACAAGCTTACCAAAATTGAAAGCAAGCGGCGAAAGAAGCTGTTGCACTGACAATTCAAGCCTCAAAATTGTGAAAGCAAGGAATAAGCATAAGGTGATACAAGAACAACATAGAACAACGTTATGCGAAGACTAAAAGGCCAAGGAAACCTCTCATTCTGGGCAATGCAAAGCCTGCAACAGTTTGCGAATTGACACAATCACGGTACATATTGACAAACGACAGTGTCTCCTAGGAGCAAGGACGCTACTAGGGGCTCCTGGCCCTACTACTAGGAGCAAGGACGACAGTGTCTCACCATTGCTTAAGTCTTTACCCACAAACGACCGTGTCTCTGTGTCTCTGTGCTTGTCCTGTCCGTCATGGAGCTGACGGCCTCGAACAGCCGGGCATGCCGGGCAGCAACTGTCAGAGATTGCTTGAGGCACTGGCAGCAATGGCCCAGCTAGACGAACCTGGCAACCAGGTAAACAACCAGGTAAACAAGAAGCTAATTCATAGCTCATTGATGTGAATTGGACAACTATTGTTTAATTATCAAGTTTCTGGTTATCTTTTTTCATGTTGCTTTCCGAGGAGCAATTGCCCATATCGTAGACTCCAGAGAAACAATGAGGCCACCTGCAGCTGTTGCCGGCCTTTGTTTCTCAATCTGTCTTCCTCTGCCGAAAAAAACTCTCCAAGATAATCATAGCCATTGATATCCAACGTAGTTTTGGGTTCAAGAGGGTCTGTACTTCGACATGGCAAAAGCTTCAGGCTTTGACAGGTATTGAAGCTTGATGAACCTAATAGGCATGGCCTCCACCCTACAGTGATGGTCTCCAGCTACTAGCAAAGGCCTTCGATGGCCTCCAACCTACTAGCGATGGCCTCTAACCTACTAGTGATGGCCTCCAACGTAATAGGGATGGCCTCCAACCTACTAGAGATGGCAAACGCTTCAGGCTTTTAACAGGTATTGACGCTCTATGTCCGATCCTCAAATAGGCTTGAGACCTTCTGGTCACTTAGAAGGCCAAGGTCTGTTCATGCGGAGTCTCAATTGCCACGCCTCTCTCGAGCATCAAATGATCGCGGCACTGTGACATCGGGCAAGGTGCACTCTGCCAATACACCTGGTCTCTCTAATAGCGACAAGCAAAAGCACATTCAAGCAAATTCATGAGCTTTGTCCAAAACGTTCTTTTTCAAGTGGGCTGGCGTGCCAAGAGCCGTGTGCACTTCTTGATCAAATTGCTTGATCAAAACAACAAGCTTTTAGAATCGGTTGGTGATTTAATGTCGGTTGGAGGCCATCGCTAGTAGGTTAGAATGATGAGGTTTACAATAGGTCATGGGGGAGACCTGATTAGAACAGAAATGGCACCGTGGAGCGGCGCTGCGAGTAGGCGGATGATGGATGGCCCGGAGATCTGGGGAAAAATGGTCTCAACGAGATCTCGCCCAATAGCGATGGCCTCCAACAGCTTCTTGCTCCTAGTAGCTTCTTGTTACTAGTAGTAAGGCACTTGTTACTAGAAGCGATGCACTTGTTACTACTAGCTGCTTGTTCCTAGTAGCTTCTTGCTCCTAGTAGTAAGGCCAGCAGCCCCGTTCGTAGCGTCCTTGCTCCTAGTAGTGATGCCGGGAGCCCCAAGTAGCTTCTAGCTACTAGAAACGAGATCTCGCTGGAAGATGGTGCAAACTTTCTGTGTTTTTCGAAGAGTTGGCGGAAGGTGCCGAGGCTTGGTGGGGCTTGCGCGTTTGCGTGGCGGATCAAGGCTCGGAATTGGCGACGCGTCCTGATCCTGCCCTAGGTTTGGGATGCGCCGAACTTCTAGACAACAATGGTATGGTCCAACAATGCCAACAATACTGTCAGCCAACTGCTACTAGTAACAAGAAGCTACTAGTAACAAAGGGCATCGCTACGAACGGGGCTATTAGAAACAATACTACTAGGGACAAGAAGCTATTAGCTTATTGTTTCTACTAGCTTCTTGTTACTACTAGTAAGGCACTTGTTCCTACTAGGGACAAGAAGCTCCTGGCCAACTGCTAATTTGAGGTCACATTTTCTCCCCACCTGCGTTCGAAACTTTCACACCGCTCAATCTCCGCACATCGCCCAAGCTCCAGTCCTCCGAAATTGAAAGGTTCAAGGGCATAGAAGCTACTAGGAACAAGTGCATCGCTTCTAGTAACAAGTGCCTTACTAGTAGTAACAAGAAGCTACTAGGTACAAGGGCATAGAAGCTAGTAACAAGGTGCACTACTACTATTAATAAGGGCATCGCTACTAGTAACAAGGGCATGATATAACTTTAAGTTTCCCTTTACACATCAACCTAAGCCTGACCCGCCGTCTAGTGACTCCTAGCTTCTCACAAGTTACCAGTATACTTCCCTACTTACCTTCTTATCGCGGACTTACTTTGCTCGCCCCAGGTCTCGGAGGTTGCTCTCCGAACGGCGTGAGTGATCGACATGCAACTGGAACCTACTAGTGACGGCCTCCAGCCTAATAGCGGTAGCTACTAGGAGCAAGGAGGCTACTAGGGGCTCCTGGCCATACTACTAGGAACAAGGACGCTACTAGGAGCAAAGGGCATCGCTACTAGGAGCAAGGACGCGCCTGGAAGAAAGGACTTTCAGCTGCTTTCCAGCCCTGCGCCTCAGAAATGAGTGTGTCACATGCCACTACGTTTGCTGCAAGAAAGGGGCTCCAAAGGCTCCAGCGTTGCGATTCACATGTGCTACGAGGCTGGGGTCATTCACCTAGCTGAGCGGTTCCAAATCAGCTCAAAGAAGGCAAGGCGAGGCAAGGGCAAGTGCTTCGACCAGATCTGCGGAATCCGAACAGGCAGCGCTTCCGAGGTTCGCTACTAGAAACAAGTGCATCGCTTCTAGTAACAAGTGCCTTACTAGTAGCAACAAGAATCTATTAGAAACAAGAAGCTACTAGGCTAAACAGTTTCGCAAAAACTGATGAAAACACGCTACCAA